TGACTCTTCATGTTGTTGTTTCTTTTGCAGTTCAGAAGCGTTTTAGTTTGATGTAGTCCCACTTAGTTTTGCTTTTGTTGCCTATACTTTTGATGTCATATACAAAAAATAAGTGCCAAAAACAACGTCAAGAAGTTATTTTCTTATGTTTTCTTGTAGAAGTTTTATGGTGTCCAATATTACACGTAAGTCTTTAATCTATTTCAAGTTAATTTTTGTGAGTGGTATCAGATAGGGGTCCCATTTCATTTTTCTGCATGTGTTTATCCAGTTTTCCTAGCACCATTTATTGAAGAAATTTTTTCCCCATTAAACACTCTTGGCTCCCTTGTCAAATGTTAGTTGGCTTTATATGAGCACAGAGTTATTTCTGGGCTCTCTTATTTGTTCTTTTGGTCCATGTGTCTATTTTTAAGGCATTTATACTATTTTGAATACTATAGCAGCTTTGTAGCATAGTTTGGGATCAAGAAGTTTGATGCTTTGTTTTTTTCCTCAGGATTGCTTTGGCTATCTGGGATCTTTTGTGGTTCCCCACGAATTTTAGGATTGTTTGTTCTATTTCTGTAAAAAGTGTCATTGAAATCTTGATGGGGGGCGCCTGGGTAGCTCAGTCAGTTAAGCATCCGACTTCGGTTCAGGTTGTGATCTCACGATTCGTGGGTTTGAGCCCTGCATCGGGCTCTATGCTGACAGCCAACTCAGAGCCTAGAGCCTGTTTCAGATTCTGTGTCTCCCTCTTTCTCTGACCCTCCCCTGCTCAGTCTGTCTCTCTCTCAGAAATAAATAAAACATTAAAAAAAATGAAATCTTGATAGGGAATACGTTAAATATAGATAGTGTTGGGCAATATGGACATTGTACCAAGTTAATTTTTCCTATCCATGAACATATACAGGGTATCTTTCCATTTGTGTCTTTAATTTCTGTTATCAAAGTCTTATAGTTTTCAGCGTATTGAATTTTCACTTCCTTGGTTAAATTTATTCCTACATATTTTATTGTTTTTGATGCTGTCATAAATGGGAATATTTCTTTTTTCATATTTTGTTGTTAGTGTATAGAAATGTCACTGATTTCTTTATGTTGATTTTTTGTATCCTACAACTATGTGTTGATTAGTTCTAACAGGTTTTTGGTTGGGTCTTTAGGATTTCCTCTGTATAAAATCATATGATCTGCAAATAAAAACAGATTTACTACTTCGTTTCCAATTCAGCTGTCTTTTATTTTATTTTATTTTATTTTATTTTATTTTATTTTATTTATTTTATTTATTTTGCCTGATTGCTCTAGCTAGAACTTCCAGTACCATGTTTAAGAAGAGTGGTGAGATTGGGTACCCTTGTGTTCTTCCCAATCTTAGGGAAAAAGCTTTCAACCTTTCCCCATTGAGTATGATGTTACCTATAGATTTGTTTGTAAATGGCTTTTATTATGTTGAGGTATGTTCCTTTTATACCTAATTTTTGTGTTTTTATGCCTAAGTTTTGTGTTGTGGCTTATTGTGTTTTGTCAAATGCTTTTTCTCATCTGTTGAGATGGTATTATTTTTATCACTCATATCATTAATATGCCTCAGCACATTGCATATATCCAGCCACCCTTGTATTGCAGGGATGAATTCTACTTGATCATGGTGTATGATCTGTTTAAAGTGTCACTGAATTCAGTTTGCTAATATTTTTTGAGGATATTTACATCTGTATCAATCAGGGATTTTGATGTGTAGTTTTCTTTTTTTGTAGTGTCCTTATCTGGCTTTGATATTAGAACATGCTGCCCTTGTAAAATGAATTTGGGAGTGTTCTCTTCTCTTCAGTTTTTTGGAAGAGTTTGAGAAGAACTGGCATAAATTCTTCTTTAAATATTTGGTAGAATTCGTCATTAAAACTATCTCGTCCTGGACTTTTTTCTTTGTTGGGAAGTTTTTGATTACTGATTCATTTTCCTTACTCATTAGTGCTCTGTTCATATTTCCTATTTCTCATGATTCAGTTTTGATGTATGTTTCTAGGAATTTGTCCTTTTTTTTTTTCTTTTTTTAATTTGAGGGTGCGAGTGGGAAAGGTGCAAAGAGGAATAGAAAGAGAGAACCTCAAACAAGCTCCATGCTCAATGCAGAGCCCGACGCAGGGCTCAGTCTCACAACTGTGATATCATGACCTGAACTGAAATCATGAGTTGGTTTGGATGTCCAACCAGCCAAGCCACCCATGTGCCCTATCCATTTTCTTAATCTGACATGTCAGTGGAAGACTTTAGCTACCTGGTTGAAAAAGAGGATGCATTTTCACCAACTGGGAATTCTGAGAGCACCTACCACATGATTTCGACAAATAATCCCTACTGTCTTTGATATTCTAGCTCCCATATTAGCATGAATTTTACTTTGTTACTATTGTTCATGTGTGTATATATGTATGTTTCAGTGAAAAATGATTACAGAAAATTTAGAAAAGAAAGCAAATAAAGAATAAAAATCATAATGCCATCTCTTACCTAATCATTGTTACTTTATTTCCTTTTAATTTTTCTCAAAAAACTTTTAAAACATAGTTAATAACCATATATTTTATATTTTTGTCATTAGTATTTTCCATTTTACTAAATTGCTTTTTTTAAAGCCACATAACATTCCACTGAATATACTATTTTTACCTAATTTTTTTTTTTTTAATTTTTTGAATATATATTTTGGAGCGCCCGGTGGGTCAGTCAGTTGAGCGTCTGACTTTGGCTCAGGTCATGATCTCACTGTTGGTGGGTTCGAGCCCCGTGTCAGGCTCTGTGATGACAGCTCAGAGCCTGGAGCCCACTTGAGATTCTGTATCTACCTCTCTGTCTGACCCTCCCCTGCTCACATTGTCTTTCTCTCTCAGAAATAAATAAAAAACATTAAAAAAATAAACATATTTAAGAAAATTTTTTTAACATTTATTCACTTTTGAGAGAGAGATGGAGTGCGAGTGGAGGAGGGGCAGAGAAAGAGGGAAACACAGAATCCGAAGCAGGCTCCAGACTCTGAGCTGTCAGCACAGGGCCTGACGCGGGGCTTGGACCCACGGGCGGTGAGATCGTGACCTGAGCCAAAGTCGGACGCTTAACTGACTGAGCCATCCAGGTGCCATGACCTAATGCTGTCTATTGTTTAATATATAGGACTTTCCTCCAGTTTCTTAATATTATAATAATGTTGTATTCATAGCTTCATGCACAGAGTTCTTTATGTTATAGATTATTTTCTTAGATTACCATAGTTTTATGCTTTTGCTATATGTTGTCATTGTTTTTCCAGAAGTAACAGTAATTGACAAGATCACTAGCAATGTGTGAAAGACCAGTGGTGCCACATCCTTGAGCATTATTTTTAAAATAATTTTATTAGTTTAATTTCAACTGCCTCATATTTATTTCTTAAATTAGCACCAGAGATTGGATTTTTTTTGATGTACATTTACTAATTATATTTCTTTCATGAGTTGTTTGTCCTTTTTTGTTTTTTTTATTTTTTAATGTTTATTTATTTTTGAGAGAGAGAGAGGGTGTGAGCAGGGGAGGGTTAGAGAGAGAGGAAGACACAGAATCTGAAGCAGTCTCCAGGCTCTGAGCTGTTAGCACAGAGTCTGATGTGGGGCTTGAACCCACAAACTGTGAGATCATGACCTGAGCTGAAGTTGGCACTTAACCAGCTGAGCCACCCAGGCACCCCTATCCTTTGCATACGAAAGTGAAATCTTTACTATTGAATTCTTGTGGCATTAACTCTAACATTTTAAAACTTCCACACATGTATTTTATATTGGAAAATTGAAACCCATCCATATGCAAACCAGGAGAAAATAAAAATTGCTCATATTGTTACCACATAGAAATATATGCTTCTGGTATTTTAAATCTATCCTTCTGACCGCTCTTTTCTTTCCTTTTTTTTTTTTTTTTTTGATGTTCATCCAGTTTTCTTAAGTAATCAAACACATCATCACACACTTTTAACCTACTTTATCCCATTTAATACTCTAATGCCTTATATGCAAAATATAGTACTTTTCCCCCCTACCAATGCATGCTCTTTCTTGACTATTTGAAAAATATAGAAAACTAAAGATCTATCACCCAGAGATGATGGCTATCAATATGTTGTAGTTCCTTTGCATTTTTAATGAATCTATCCTCTTCCTCAAAATAGCTGTCATGCTATATATATTTATAATGTTTACTGAGTATTCGTTATATTATTATACTTGTAAAAATTTCTTTTTAATGATAGTCCCCTAGTCACATAATTTGTTTTAAAATTGTCACGCTCTTAGGGACGCCTGGGTGGCTCAGTCGGTTAAGTTTCTCTTGGTTTCTCTTGCTTTCAGCTCAGGTCATGATCTACAGTTCATGAGTTCAAGCCCCACATGGGGCTCTGTGCTAATGGTGCAGAGCCTGCTTGGGACTGTCTCTCTCTCTCCCCCTCTCTCTCTGCCCCTCCCATGTCTCTCTTTCAAAACATAAATAAACTTTGAAAAAATTATTTTAACTGTCATATTAGATGTCTGTTTCTAATTTTCTGTATTTTTTTATACACAGTTTTTACCTTCACCAGTTTTGTGCTTACCTTGTCACTCCTCCCCAACACTGACTATTATCTTACTTTTATTTTTTTTCTTTTATAAAAGTTTATTGTCAAGTTGGTTTCCATATAACACCCATTGCTCATCCGAACAAGTGCCCTCCTTCATGCCCATCACCCTATTATCTTACTTTTAAATATTTGCTAATTTGGTGGTTGAAAAAATGGCATCTTATTATTTTGATACCTTTCTTAAATGTAAATTCCCTAATAAGAATAGCAGGATTTCACAAGAATGTATTTTAACAAAAGAAAGTAGACTTTTGCTAACGGGTGGTTGTAATGGTTATAAGTGTGTGTGTGTGTGTGTGTGTGTGTGTGTGTAAACACAAACACTGGATTCCTCTGCCTAAAATAGGACTATTTTTTTTTCAAATAGGTCTTGGTATCTTGATGGACAAACACTACTAATAGTCATCTGTGTTGGCATTGTGTTCCCTCTTGCACTTCTTCCTAAAATAGGTAAGTCTTTAGAGAAGAGGACATGTTTTTATTTGGAAGAAAGAGAGAAGATAATGTTAAGGGATTTTTAAATTTCATGGTACCACATTTTTAGCAGAAGGGTGGTAGTGGTGAATAATTCTACAGTTGGACTTATTTTAGGTTGTTCAGCCTTCAGCCTTGCCTAGTTAGCCCATTACTTGGTTTGCAGTAGTATTTTGTCTGCCCTACTAAAATAAAATCTTTACAGCGGAACATTAAAGAGCAGCCTTTCCTTACAGTGTACCATTAGTGGTAAGCCTGTTCCAACTCTGCTGTACAGAGCTGCATAAATGATCTGTGACAGATAGTTGGAATGTTGTTATTCTCAGCCCTAAGCCCCAGATACCAAGCACTGTAATAGAAAACATGCCCAAGATGTATAGCTTTTGCTGTACGTTAGGAACATTTTCCTTATAAATTGCTTTTTATTTTACTGTTATTTTACAGGCTTTCTTGGCTACACAAGTAGTTTATCATTTTCCTTTATGGTGTTCTTTGCTGTTGTGGTAAGTTTAAAATACAGTACATTGCTTATCTCCTCACTAAAATTGAACTTACTGTGTTAATGTCTTCTTTTTTTGTACACTCTGTTTTCTGTTAGAGGTTTAGTTCATTGTGTTATTTAAAGGAAGCACTTTAGTCAACAAAATTATTTCCTTTATTGTATCTATTTTGAAGAGGCTGAGCGAAAGCCACAGTTCAACCTCAGTATCTCTTTTGGTTAACTAGAGAGGAGAGCACACTGATTGTGTGAAAACCTTAGATAAAGCCAAATTCTTTATGTAGGTTTGTGTATCAGTTTATTTCCATATAATACTCTGTGTATGTGATTGAACTCTCCCTTGCTACTGAAAGATGAGTAAAAGAAAATGGTACCCAAGTGAGCTACACAGAACACCAGTAGTTAAGTCATATTATAGAGCCAGAGAGTCAAGCTATCACAACAATCTAGGAGGCATTTAATTTAGGTTATACTATCTTCTGGGATACAAGGATAAAACAACTTTAGATTATTTAAATGAAGTAGAAGTGGCCCTGGTTTTAGTGTACAGAAGTATGTAGTGGATGCTCTTAAAACTAAAATACTTAAACATGTTTACATTTAATCATTTGTTGAATTTTTCAGCATTAAAAATCATTGCCCTCCCCACCTCAAATTGTCTGACTTGTCTCTTAGAAGTAAATGAACTGAACACAGACTCTTTTCTCCTTCAGTTTAATTGAGTTATAATTGACATACAGCACTGTCTAAGCCTAAGGCGTACAGCATAAACCCTTGACTTACATATATAGCAAAATGATTACCACCATAAAGTTAGGTAACTTCCAGGAACATACTTTGTAGGCTCCACGTTGAAAAGAGAAGCAACAGTTATTTTCAGCATAATCAGATTTTTCTTACAGTGGTACTTACTAAATTTTTAGTATAGTTGACACAGAGTGTTACATTAACTTCAGGTGTTCAACATAATGATTTCATAACTTTACACATTATGCTATACTCACCACAAGTGTAGCTACCATCTGTCACCATACAACACTATTATACTATCATTGACTATATTCTCGATGCTGTGCCTTTTATTCCCCTGACTTACTCATTCCTTAAGTGGAAGCCTGTACCTCCTACTTCACTTCACCCATGTTGCCCATCCCCCTCCCCTCCTCCTCCTGGCAACCATCAATTTGTTCTCTGAACGTATAGGTCTGAGTCTTCTTTTTGTTTATTCATTTGTTTTTTAGGTTCCAGATGAGTGAAATCATATGTTATTTGCCTTTTTCAGTCTGACTTATTTCACTCAGCAAAATACTCTCAAAGTCCATCTATGTTGTTGCAAATGGCACTATCTCATACTTTTTTGTAGCTGTGTGGTATTTCATAATGTATACACACACACATACACACAACACATCTTCCTTCTCCATTTGTCTATTGATAAATATTTAGGTTACTCCCATATCTTGGCTATTGTAAATAATGCTACAATAAATATAGGGGTGCATATATATTTTTGAATTAGTGTTTTCATTTTCTTTAGGTAAATACCCAGTAGTGGAATATTGGATCATATGGTATTTCTATTTTTAATTTTTTAGAGAACCTCCATGCTGTTTTCCACAGTGGTTGTACCAGTTTACATTCCCTGTAACAGCGTCTGAGGGTTCTTTGTTCTCTACATCTTTGCCAGCACTTGCTATGTTATGTCTTGTTTTTTTGATTTTAGGCATTCGGATAGGTGTAAGGTGATATCTTATTGTGATTTTGGTTTGCATTTCCCTGGTAATTAGTGATGCTGAGCATCTTTCTGTGTGTCTTTTGGCCATCTGTATGTCCTCTTTGGAAAAATTCAAGTCCTCTGTTCATTTTTTGATTGGATTTTTTTGGTGTGAGTTGTATAAGTTCTCTATGTATTTTGAATATTAACCCCTTATCACATATATCATTTGGTAATATCTTCTCCCATTCAGTTTTGTTTTCTTGGTGGTTTACTTTGCTGTGCAAAAGCTTTTTATTTTGATGTAGTCCTTTTAGTTTATTTTTGCTTTCATTTCCCTTACCTTAAGAGACATGTCTAGAAAAATGTTGGCCTGGCTGATGTCAAAGAAATCACTGCCTACATTCTCTTCTAGGAATTTTATGGTTTCAGATCTCACATTTAATCCTAATTGAAGATCTTTAAGCCATTTTGAGTTTGTTTTTCTATATGGTATTAGAAAGTAGTCCAGTTTCATAAACTAATTGTTGAGAAGTATCTACATGGTTAGGAATGACCTGTGTATGCAAATGAACATATGGATGTGAAAGAGAATCAGTCAAGATAATATTGAATTTTTTCCTCACAGATAATTGGCAATCCAAGCATTGCATAGGTAAGAATAATTTGGTTTTTATAGCCAAAAGCTTGAAGCATGTGACATGTATTGATAGGAAATGTCTATTGTAGTTTTCACAGTATTCATTTCAGTCATGGCAGGTGCTCTTAAATTCGATGCAGATTTCTTACTGTAGCAGTCATATGGAAATAATACCCTTATTCTGCACTTATTGTAATGCTTTATAAACCAACTCCCAGAGTTTTACCTGTGAGCAGAATTTAAATTTGATTTACAATGGGACAATGAAGACACTGTACACTTTTTTTTAATGCACCTTTTAATTGTCATATTTATTTTAGACTTTCCAAATAATTAGATTTTGAAATACATTGGTTAGGGAAAGGAAACCCGTATATATTAACCCAGATTTTTTTTGAAGGGCGTCAATGATTTCACTTATTATTTTTGTCAATATGTGTTTGTAAATCTATATAATGTCTATATTACATTTTTCAAAAAAAAAAATCAGCCCCCAAATCTGTTAGTTTTCTAAATTATACTGTCTAAATAATGTAAATAAAACTTATAGTCTTTTTATTTAAAAAATCTGATCAAAGCTGGCTTTAATTTTGTTTTAAGTTTTTTTTTTTTTTTAATGTTTGCTTATTTTTGAGAGAGAGAGAGAGTGTGTGAGTAGGGGAGGATCAGAAAGGGAGACACAGAGTCTGAAGCAGGCTCCAGGTTCTGAGCCATCAGCACAGAGCCCAATGTGGGGCTCAAATTCACAAACCATCAAATCATGACCTGAGTTGAAATCAGACACTTAACCCGCTGAGCCACCCAGGTGCCCCTTAAAGCTGGCTTTAATTTTTTATCTCACACTTAAAAGGTTATCTGATGGTTACCAGTATCCAAATCCTAGTGTTGATTACTAGATAACAAATCTTAAGGTAAATTCATCTCATTTACCTATGTTCAATTGCTATCAGTTTCTTTTAATGTTTATTTTTGAGAGGGAGAGAGAGCGTGTGTGGCGTAGGGGCAGTTAAAGAGGGGAACATAGAATCAGAAGCAGGCTCCAGACTCTGAGCTGTCAGCACAGAGCCCAATACGGGGCTCAAACCCACAAACCATGAGATCATGACCTGAGCCAAAGTTGGACACTTAACTGACTGAGCCACCCAGGTGCCCCCAGTTTCTCTCAGTTTTACTATACACTGGTGTAAATAGCTTTACTGATGATTTTGTATGAAATTCAGTCTCCTACGCATCCCATGGAGTCATGGGATAGAATCAGGAGCCTCCACCTTCTTTGTGAACCTCAGTGGTACTGTGGAAGTTAAGGCAATTTTGCCAAAGTTAAGCAGGATTTATTTTCATTTGTAAGAGAACCCTCTTACAACAGTTTTATTTAATTGTCCTTAACGTGGTGGCATTCTTTTAATCTATTCTTTCCAAAGCAGCAGTTACATAAATGGAGTATTGGATTAAACCTAAAAATGTGGGCCCTGGTTAACTTTTTTATTCTGCATATGATCATGATAAAGGATTAGGATATTCTTCACATTTCCAAGGAAAATCCAGTTTAAAAAAGTTTGTTCTTACCAAACTCCTAAAAGCAGCCATTTGAGAGTAAACCAGCAGAGCAATACATCATCCCAATGAAGTGTAGGCTTCATTACATGCACCTACAAACCTATGTGGCTACCTTCTGCATTCCACTTTTACAGAATTTATTTTACACCTATTATAACATACAACATTTTAAACACCAACATATAAACTCCCTAATAAGATAAAGCAAAGACAAAAGTGTTTATCTTATTAGAAACAAGATACACCATCACTTACAGTCTTCAAACATTAATTGTGCTTTAACTTTCATAATTTGACAATGCATTTATGGAACAGTCTGCAGACGTCTCATTTTAACAGACAAATGAAAGAACACTTTTAAGCAGACATGACTGTCCTAAATTGTTTATTAGGTAAGAATGTTACAGACATGACCTACATTAGCAGTTATGATGGAGCTGGGGAGGATTGTGTCTTCATGCTGCAGCGGGAACCACTAAGAGTGTGGTGCAACTTGTGACCCTTTCCAAGGCCATGTCTCTGTGGCCTGCAGATGTCAGCTCTCACGTCTGTCTCCCTGTGCTTATGGACTGACATCCACTGGTGTCAGGAGTCTTCTGAGAGCTTAATGGGATCAATGAAGATAACCTCAAAGAATTTGTACATGGAATCATCACCAACCCAGTTAGAACTCAGGACTCTCAGAGCTCCCCAGTGGTGTCCAGCTTGTGCATTTGCACCAACTCAAGGCTTTGGGCCAATTTTAGCTGGTTAGCATCATGATGGACAGGCTTGCCCTAGGTTGCACCCTTAGGAACTGAATGTTTGCAACCCCGAGTGTGCCCATGAGTCCGATATATGATCATCATAACCTTGCTTGGCCTTGTGCCCCAGTCTGGGGGCTTTATCAGGCTGGATTGGGTGAGGGGCCCTATGGAGTGTGGAGAGCTCGCCATACTGCCAGCCTGTACCCTGAGAATAAAGCTCGTTATAGCAGACTGCTCTCCCTCCGTAGCTCCTGGATGTACTTGTAAACGCCTGTCTTGGCTGACCTTTGAGCTGATGCCTGCCGCCAGACAGAAAGCAAAACTTATGGTCTTGTCTGTTGTCCCAGATTCCTATTTTGCATAAAAATCTAACATAAAATTTTGCCTCCCTGAAATATCTGAACTTTTTAAAGTCAATTTTATCCAGGGCTCAGAATGACAGTAACTAGATGGATCGCCCTTCTTTGGTCCATTTTAGAAAACAAATGGATTGCTGTTCTTTCCAAAGGTTCTGTCTTGAGTATAGATAAGTATGCTAAGTAATATTTTAGTAAGCCATTAATCAAAATAGAAAACAATTTGGATGGTTTTTAGTCAGAAGCTTTGCTTGGTCTGAGCGCTAAGTGAGGCATTATAGACCTGTGGGTGCCGTTCTTAAGGATCTGTCAATCTCAGAAGGGAGATAAGAAAAATTAACTGGAAAACAATAGAGAACAATGAAGACAATACATAACTGAGTATTGATTTATTTGCTTCAGAATAAGAATTGCAGGAATTGAGAGGAGAGAAGGAAATTAAACTTGAGGCTTGAAAGATGGGAAGGACTTGGAACAGAGAGAAGGAAGGGTCTTTTGTGCAAGTGAACTTAATCTTCTTTTTCTCTTTGTCTTTCTATCCCCTGGAGTTCTCTTACCATGTTGTGTCTTCAGCCTGAGCAAGGACTCCCCGTCATCACTGTTGTTGGGTCCCTATCCATTCTCGTTCTGTTCTTTGTGGGACAACGTATCTCACCATCCCACCATGCAGGCTTAGTCTTGAGATGGGTCTCTGCAGGGAAATTAGGTAGAATAACTCAATTTTATATTAAATAAAACCAAGCTGCTAAAGATTTTTTCATTAATTAAAAATTCATTTAAAAATGAATGACAAGATCATTATATTGTATTTTAGAGCATTGTTATGAAATGTTTTAATTTGCAAGCCAAGCAGTAAAGGCTGATAAAATAAATGAGATAGCTCCCATTCCGACCTTGTCAACGTACTTAGTACACAGGTGCTCAGTACTTGGTCGCTGTTGCCACCACACCACTGTGCAGCGCTGAATCTGGGGTAGGGCTGAAGAGAGAGACCAGTAACCACTCTCCTGCCCTAGCCCCTGTCCTGCCCCATCCTCATCTTCTTTGAAAACATATCAGAAAAAAAGATGTGAAATTACTGCTTTTGATTTTTTTCCTTTCCTTTGGGTATGTTGACCATTATATAGTTTTCTTCCATATTGGAAACTCACCTAGAAGTATCAAAAACAACTTGCTCAGTGGACTCTTTTTTTTTTCTTGGTGAGAGTTTGAGTTCAAAGTAATTCTTTAGTTCACTATTAACTTTATCCTAAAAGTATACGTTTTCCTTAATTTGTTTTATCGCTATATAAAATTTTGTTTGAATAAGGTAAAATCCCAAACTAGATAAATACCGGATAGGAATAGTATTTACTTATTGGTCTCCTGCAAAGACAAATGCTTTCTTTATTCTCCCTTGCCCATCTGTGTGCTGGGTTTCAGCCTGGAGCAAATATTTACAGAGTAATTACGGGCCCTGAAACAGCCTCAACAATGGTAATGTCGACACGTCCACAACTGCAGGCCTAGAGCAGGATGGCCATGATCCAGAGTAAAATCCTGAGACATTTGCACTGATTCTTTCTGAGAGGTAGCATCCCTCTGGATTTCTTTTAACTTTTTAAAAATTTCTTTTTACCAGCTGGAGTTCACTAGCTATATGCTCTTACTCTTAGCCTGCTTTACATTTATGAAAAGTAATACAAGTCTAAAAACAACCGGGAGGATGGTACTTCTACCTTAGAAATCCCTGAACTCCTGCTTTGCGTGGGGTGTCTCCTTATTTCTGTCTGTGGCCATTTCCAAAACTGCTATTGATATTTCTCTATTGCTACAGATGCCAGATCCACAAACAGCCATAGTCTTATACCATTGTCACTAAAACCATCATGTTGCCATTTTGAGTTGTACTTTTTGTAATGCCTTGATGCTATCTGGAGTTTTGAACATTGACACCAGAGTACTCAGTCTTTAAGGGGGGAGATCCCCACTAAACAGATATGTGACACCCCCCTTTCCCTCCCACAATAGCAGCCATGTTAAGTGAATGACCCATTCTAACTGGAAAAGGATCATATGGGCAAAGAATTTTCTGTTAGCTATTAGTTGGGATGGTGTTCATTTAATTAAAGTAAGGCTGACTTGTTTGAAATCAATTTCTTGTAATGAATTTTATAAGAAATAATCTTGAGTGTGGATTCTATTTATTCTTACAGATAATAATTAAAAAGTGGTCCATTCCTTGTCCTCTGCCATTAAATTATATAGAGCAATACTTCCAGGTAATAGTTTACATTTCCAGTTTCTTTCTTTTTATTTTAAGCTAAAAAGAAAAAAAAAGTTCCAGTAATAATGATTTTTTTCCCCTAATTAACGAAAACGTAATGGCTATATTGCAGTTTGGAACTTTGTTTTGAAATATTTTTATTTGAAAGCCTAGTAATAATAACGACATCATTTTTGTGGATGCATTCTGACCTTTAATGACTCTTGGTTTCTCTTTTTTCCCCTCTATCCTCTTAAACAGATTTCAAACGCTACAGATGATTGTAAACCAAAGCTCTTTCATTTCTCCAAAGAGGTGTGTAAGTTATTAACAGATACTTTTGGTTGATTTTTCACATTTCAAGTTTAAGAGATTTGTGTAACAGGGTCTCTTAGGTCTTTGTTCCTATAACTAATTAATTTTCATGAAAGTGCTAAGTATAGGGTTGCCTACCAGAAGAATAATATTATTTAACACAGGGTGGCCCATTATGAAACAGCCACCTTTTTTTTTTCTTGGCATGTGTTTAAATGGAGCCTGTTTTAAATGGGCCACTGCCTGAAAGAACAGATTTACTGAATGTCTGGTCTGGCCAATAAGGTCCTCTGTGGTTACAGACTTCCTGTTGCCTTCTGGACTTGTAAAGCTAAATAGCCAATTATATCAAACACTCCTCCCCTGTGAGTAGAACCTTGGTCTGTAGCTAAACAGCCTCATGATTGGACCAGCAATTGAGTGCTGCCAATATATCTTCTGGCTGACATTCCAGAGTTGAAATTTATGATGTTTGGAGTGGAGACTAGAAGATCAAGTCTCCTTGCTATCTCTAAGAGTCTTAGAATCCTGGAAATACCTGCAAGAGCCGCTGAACATCAGCAGAAGAACTGTGATCTGGACGATCTCTCCTTTAGTGTTCTAGAAGAACCCAAAGTCATCCCTGTTGCCACAAATTTCTTCATCTATATATTTTTTTTATTCTGTTGAAATCCAAGTCCCAGGTACTAGAATCCTCTCCACTCTGAGACAACTCTTACCAGAGTAGCATGTTAGTGTGCTAACTCCTCCATCCAGAATTTTCCTTTTAGTCCCTAGTTTTTCAATGAGAAATGTGTCTCTGGCTCCACAAGTGGGATTACCACATCCTTTACATGGGACAGGCCATCTGTCTTAAAGATCCAGGTAGGGTAAAATCGACAAATCAGGAAATGGAGCAACATATGAAAGAGATTTTGTGAATTAAACTCTTAGTCCCCTAATCCAGGCTCAGGAAACACTACAGCTCTCCTTCTTAGCTCCCTTCAAGTATTTTAGAAGGCATTATATACCAATCTAGGTCTTCAGTCGTCTGGAACCTTTGTTCAAGAGCCTAAAGTTAGAGAGAGAAACTTTTTAAGTAGAAAAGAGAAAGTAAATCACCATTAATTTTATAAAGACAGCATTTTCATTTAGATGGTAACTTGTTTGCTTTATAACTTCCTCGGACTCTTAAGTATTCTAATTTAAAAAAAAAAAACAAACAATTAACTCTTATGTATTCCAGTGGATCTTTAAGAATTTATCAATCTAGAATATATCGTGTTCATTCCCAATGAAAGAAACCTTAGGTAAAATGCTAAGATGGGATTAATATTTTCAGTATTCTCTTTAAATTCAGTTGGTGGCATTCCAACCATGGTATAGAGGCCAGCCAAGAACTATTCTGGCTAGCACAGGCAGTTGAACTATTAAGTAAAACATTTGGTGGTGACTATATTTGTGTCTCTCTTTAAAAAAAAAAAAAACCACACCATTTGGCACAGATAAAATAAAGCATATGTTGACTGAAACACACACAAACACACACACATACACACACACAAAACATCCTCATTTTATATAGAGATGATTCATGAAAGATGAAGACAGTTGAACCGATTTGATTTTTTTTAAGACCTGAGTTTATTGTCAAATGAAGTAGTGGTTTAAACAGTGGCATTTAATAATTTGGTCTTTTAAAATTCTTTTTCAGAGTGCTTATGCCATACCTACCATGGCTTTTTCATTTCTCTGCCATACCTCAATATTGCCCATATACTGTGAACTTCAAAGGTACTGTAAATCCTGGAATATTTTAAATGTATTAAGTATTTCTTTTTACTTGTTGGACTTTCAGATTGAATGACATTTTCCTTTATGAATCCTTCCCTCTCATCACTGGATTCTCAGCATTAGTTTATTTTATTTTAAGATTTTATTTTATTTTATTTTATTTAAAAGTTTATTTTGAAAGAGAGAGAGAACTAGCAGGGGAGGGGAGAGAGAGAGAGAGACAGACAGAGAGAGAGAGAGAGAGAATCCAAAGCAGGTTCTGTGCTGTCTACTTGATCCCATGAACCATGAGATCATGACCTGAGCCGAGATCAAGAGTCAGCTGCTTAACCAACTGAGCCACCCAGGCACCCCTCCTTTTTAGCAATCTCTACACTCGACGTAGGGCTTGAACTCACAAACCCAAGGTCCAAAGTCACATGCAGTACTGACTGAGCCAGCCAGGTGTCCCTAAGTATTTGTTTAAAATAAAACAATGAAGAGTTAGTTTGGTCCAGCTTGAGAATGTTTCCTATGAGCAAAATCTTTGTGCAGTAATTTCAAATCAGAAATTCTAGTATATAGTTATGAATGAAGTAGTTCTTGAACAATTAAGGAATCCTCTTGATTGAGTAGCTTGGTTGATATTTGTTTGTTTAGATGTAATTCACATCACAGTTTCTACTTTTGCCATTTTTGTCTTTTAGCCCTTCAAAGAAAAGAATGCAGAATGCAACCAATACAGCAATTGCTTTAAGTTTTCTCATTTATTTTATATCTGCACTCTTTGGGTACCTCACATTTTATGGTAAGTATATTATTTAATTAGCAATGACAAATTGTTCTCTAGTTGATCTCACCCCTGAATATAGACTTTGTTTCCGCCTTTTGTCACTAAGTTAATTTGTTTAGTCTGCTAAATTCAGTGTAGCACTGTAGTAGCTTTATGGGCCTTAAAAAAATGGTTTTCTCAAAAATATGGATCAAGTTCAAGATTAATAATAACTTCATATGAAAAAAAATTTTTAACACCCAAGTAAAGCCACAGATTTCTGGATATTGCTGTCTTTCCACAAGGAACAAATGTGCAATAATGATTTTATTTTTTAAGAATTCAGTATGTTGGAATCTAGTTTGGAAGATTGGAAGGATCAGTCATCTTAATTGCAAAAGAACAGGTTGAGGAAGGAAAGGTTTTACACTGGACTATAGTTATAAACTTAGATCTCAGAGATCTTTGCCTTCAGTCTTAATTCACACAATTTGGCAATGTATGTTCTATGATGCCTCCCCCTCCCCATAAATTTGGCAAAAGGATTCTTTTAAATTCTTAAATTAAAAAAAATTTTAAGTTAATTTTTATTGATTTTTGAAAAATGTTCTGCTTGGTATGTGTTTGTTTGTTTGTTTGTTTTTCCTGTTCTAAAAAGAACCTAAAGAAAAAGGAAAACTTAAAAGTCCAGAACAAGAAAAAAAAAATTGTAGGCTCATTTGTTTAATCTGAAAACCTATTTAATTTGCAAACAAACCCATTATAACAAATTGCACTCAATTTGTCAATTCTGGAATACACTTTTCAGCTTATGAGTGCTTTTATAACAGCTCTCCAAGTAAATGGCTGTTATTACCCTGGTGATATTTAGCTGTTATGACTCTGATTTCATGGTTGATAGCCTTGTGCACGAGTTTCAGGTTTTAGACATCCATGATTACTTCTAATGGCACTTTGCTTCTCTCCCAGAGTTTTTCCAAGTCTGACAAGTTTTTGGACAACATTTACTTCCACAGCTACCTTTACTAAATCAGCTACCTTTCCTAATCCCAGAGGAAAGAGTATGGATTTTGAAATCCAACAAATATGGTACAAATAACTATTCTGCTCTAACTAGCTATGTGACCTTGAACAGGATACTCACCCTGTAATCTTGTCATCTCCTAATCTGTAACAGGGATAATTGCATAGAGTTGTGTTGAGGAGGAAATGAGTTATGTGTAAAATGCCTATTACAGTATCTGGCACATAGCAGTCTTCCACAAAGGAGAGCTACTGCTGGCGTCTACTGATATTATCATTATGATTATAGTTATTTTATAATTTCAGGGTGCTCAGTTTGTCAGCACTGTACTTCTCATTCTTACGATCATTAGTGATATTTAAGTTAAATATGGTAACTTGACAGTATAATGTGTATGCTCTTGGAGTTTACAGTGTATGAGAAAATTATAATTGCTCTATAATCCTTTTCTTGCTATCTCTATGCTATTTTAACAGTAATAAAGGCCATTCATTAATCTAAATCTGCTCTTGCATTTTATACTGATGTAGGATAAAAGTGGTAGAGCTCTGTGTACGCCATCAGAAAAAACATTATCTCCAACACGAGTACTGCATCCTGCTGGATTCACTACAAAGAAAACAGATGGAGAAGCTTGTTTGATCATTGCTCATAAAACAAAATTCTTGAACTATATAAGCTCTAGATTTGGTTGTTGGGTTTGTAAGTTTTTGGACAGACTTGAGCTCAGTAAGACTTTTCTAGAATAATAAGATACTATAGCAAGCTCTCTGTTGAGATTCAGCAAACACTTAGTATAGCAGAATAGCTGTGAACTTTTCTAAATTAAAATTGTCACTGGCACAAATACTCCTGTATTTAGGTATCTTCAGCATTGAAAAAAAGTCCAAAAAAAATTGACCTCCTACTTCTCCTCCTTATGGATAAATAGCTGTCTGGAAGAAGCCTCAAATGGCCTGCCAGTCTCCAAGATAGCTGAGGAATAGTTACATAAATTACCATAAAATGCTGTATTAAATTGTCAGAAAGCTTAGCTCAAAGGGAAAGTGAAGGAAGGATAGATGGTAATACATTTATTGAGCTAACATTTACTGTGTACGTGTCGGGTATTTTATATACATTGTTTAACTTAATTCTTACAACAACTTTATGAGGTATAGGTTCACATAGCTTGAGCAATTTGGCCAGATACCTGCAGCTAGTGAATGAATCTTTGGTATTTGAATCCAATTCTGATTGTCTCCAAAGGTAGCACTTTTATTACTCTGTTCCCTCCTCAGGCGTTATGCTAGAGAACCCAGATTTTCTTAATTCCAAGTTTTTGTCAGTGAGCTTTTGGAAGAGCCTGACTCACTTAAGCTCCAGACATATCTGTATATCTCTGTCTACTTATTGTTCCATGAGCTCAGAGGCGAAACATTTTCATTATGTAAATGAAATATTTCCTACACGGATTGTCCTTCTTATCAGGTAAAGCTGTTATGTTATCTCTGACTTAATACACTACAAATTCTTCAGACTGTCCATATGTTATCTAATGGAGAAATACACATCTAAGAAAAATCTCATCATAGGTAGGTGATAGGAAGGAAGGAAGGAGGGAGGGAGGGAGGGAGGGAGGAAGGAAGGAAGGAAATAAATTCCTTCTCCAAAGAGAAAAGAAGATTCAGATATTGTTTTTTCTGTTCACAGTAGCTTTTGGGGGGTTGTCAATCATAACTAAGGGACATCTTTTCTGGTATATTTCTGTCAAGATAACAGTAGCTCTCAGTTTTATGGAGGGAAATTATGAACTAAGCAATTATCAGAAGGGCTAGTCACAACTTAAGGCCTTCAACTCATTTGTAAATGAGCAACTGAAGCCGGAAGAAGTGAAGTGACCTATTACACTATTAGTAGCATCTCTCGTGAATACCCATCCAGTGATCTTTCTGCTACTATGTGGTAATTCTTATAAACCTCAGACGTTTTGACAAAGTGTATTACACAAGTCAGCCTCCTGACTTAATAGCATATATAACTTACAGAGAACCCTATAAGATCCTTACTAAGATTTATAGAGATTTATCTGAATTCAGAGAAGTGTGTTGTACTCTATCCCTCACATATGTTAAGGATCAGCTAAGAACACAATTGAGTGGCTCAGAAGAAGTGTTTTCATCCTGGGAAAGTAGAAAGTGGATATGTGACAGATATTTTGAATTTGTAATAAATTCAGCTTCTGGAGCTGCTTGGGATCCTTTTATCCAGTGCTCGAAGGCCTAGTTAATATCTAAATTTTGTCAGATTACAGGGACCTATAAGTATGTACCTAGATTAATAATATTGGCTCTTTACAAATGTTAAAGCATTATAAGGTGAGGAAGAAAAAGTGTTCCTCTGGGGAACACAGCCCAATGCCCAAATGTTACATAATAACCAGACCATTTTAAAAGTCTACAAAATTGTTCAGTAGTGTTAATAGCTCATTTTCATGATTCAGAAAGTAGAAATAAAATAGTTTGCCACATATTTTCAAAGACTCACAAATATCTCAGATTTTGAAATAAAATCGAGCTTTTCTGGCTCTTCTTAATCTCTTACTTTGTCCATTAATCTCCCATCATGTAAAGTAGTTCTTTGATCCTTTGGACAATTGGTTTTTCTCCCTTTTTCCATTATCACTAGTCTAGTTCAGATTCTCATGATCTCTTGGTGATTATGACAGTAACCTTCTAACTCTTATTTCAGTTTGGGGTGTCTTTTTCTTCCTGCTTAGTTCAGATCATAATACACATATCTTCATAAGTCACTGCATCTCTGTAGCCCACCGTATTGACTACAAACCTTATGAACAGCTCTATTACTGGGTATTAAGTGCACTTCTGACCTTATCACCCAAAACTCTCTGCTCTACAGCACATCCTGTTTCAGCCACTGTGAATGTCCTTACTACTACTGGACTACTCATTTTCTCAGATGCATATTTTCTGTGCTACTTCAGAGCTTCTGCTTGTGTTACTTCTTCCTCTGAGAAAGACTCTCTCTTTCCACCCATACATTAAGTCATTTACGGCTCTCCATAACTCCACATGTCAAAATATTATTGTCCCACTTTACAGATAGAAGAACCAAGAGCTTCAGAGAAGTTAAGTTGCTAGTAAGTAGAGGAATTTGAACATTAATCCGTGTAGTCCCAGAATTCAGGACCCTCTACCTTCCTACTCTTGACTGTGTCATGATGACTCTCCCCAAGCCTCCCTGGATTTCCTCCTTCCTCATCCCAAAGTCATAGTACCTTTCCCTATTCACAATCACTCTTTGTTTAGAACTATTACTGCCACTCATGTATATATCTGTGTTTATACACTTTCTATTATATGTGTATATGTTCATCTTATTGCTCCTTCAAATATTAAGTTCCTTGAAAACAAGTGTGTTTTCTATTTCCTCCAAAGCATCTCTTTGAAAACATATTATTCTCCAATTTAAAAAGCACCATTTCTATTTTGGGGCACCTGAGTGGCTCAGTTGGTTAAGCATCCAACTCTTGACCTCAGCTCAGGTCTTGATCTCAGGGTCATGAGTTCAAGCTCCACGTAGGGCTCCACCCTGGGCATGAAGGCTACTTAAAAGGTAGTATTCTATTTTAAGTACAAAATGATCTTTCACTGCAAGGCAGGACATGGAGTGTTCTTGAGAATGCTCACTCTTCATACCTCTCTTCTGACTGGGGGTGCAGAGGCATTGGGAAAATGGAAGACTAACATGGAGCAAAGCATGGTCAGCATGTACAAATTCTGTCATTGACTACCACTGGCTTGCTGAGTAAGCCGTTTCCCTGCAACTACATTTTCTTATGAGAGAGTAATTTACAGGTGAAATGTTGATGAAGCAGACAACATGCACAGAAGTGTAAGATTCTAGAAAACATTGCGGTATTAAGGAAAAGCTATTGGCCTTAGCACCAAGAAAACGTGGGTGTATAGCTCTTCAAGCTCCGCCTCTCTGTGCTGTGTGATCTTGGGCAAGTCAATTAATATTTTTCAGCCTAGCTACCCTCTTAATTGTTATCATGAGGGTACACGTGATACGCTTTCAGTGATAGATGTGAAAACACCTTACAAAACAAACGAATGTTCAAAACTTTTGGATTACGAAAAAGTTCTCAAGATATATATTTTTTTTTCATGGTCATAATTTTAGAGTTCTGCTGATTTGTAGTTTAATTAAAAGAAAAGATTATAACTTTAGAGACGATATTTAATTAATGTCTCTGTGTTTCAAAAGATATGGGAAAGGCCAGAGATGGATTTGGTACTGGGAATCCAATATTTGTGAAGATCCATTTGTGCAAAGTAAAATAATTTTGCTGTTATTGACATCTTAGTAGTTTGTAATGTTTAATTTACAGACAAAGTGGCGTCAGAACTACTGCAAGGTTATAGCAAGTACTTGCCACATGATGTTGTTGTCATGGCTGTGAAGTTGTGCATACTATTGGCTGTGCTTTTGACAGTCCCTCTAATCCACTTCCCTGTAAGTATTCTTAAAGGTCTCATTGGTTAATGCGGCAGCTCCCTGATATGACAACGCTAATTCTTTGCAGACTAGAATGTTTGAATCACATCTAGTCTTGTATATCGTATTCATTAGTCAAGTAATTGATCAAAGACCTCATACTTGCATATGGCCCCATGAAGGCACAAAAATAACAGTGAACCACTAAGCTAATTTGTGCTTTTTGAGACTTAGTTTAGATTTATGCTCTCCCACAGCATTGTTTCCAATTTAGAGACTATGGTTCTTCTAAAGTTTGGGGTTTCCCCCCCTCCTTTAATTCTGTATTCTGTTTTCAAAAGAATGTGCATGAAGAAGCAAAAGTCAAGTCAGCAAAAATAAGCCCGTTCTGGTTTATTGTAGATTTATTTTCACATAGACATTCTAATTTAATCTTAGTCAAAATACTGAATTTGGCCGAGAATTATAATTAAGGGGCAGAACAGATCTTCATTCTGTATTTAGTTGCCATATGTAAGAATCTTAAGAATTTCTGAGAAAATGGAAACAGAGGCTTTAGGTATGAAGGTTTCTGCATGAATGTCTTGAATCCCTCAACAGCGAGTTCCCAAAGAACTGGGCCTTCAAGATTTTTGGCTCATTCCCTGCATGGACTGTACTGCCAGGAGGGAGCGGCCAGGGGGTAACCATTTGCAGGGTGTGACCGCCTGCTGCTCGCCTCCTTGGCAGTGGGAAGTGTCATAAACTAGTTTTCATATTCACATGCTATGAAACAGATAAAATAAAACAGTAAATGATAATTCTTTTTCGTAGCATGATTCTTTTTTCTGTTTCAAACCTTGTGTTCTTCACTCTGTGAACTTAATGAAAATGATTCTCTGAGATGTCATCACACAATGTTATTGTTGGTCATTTTGAAAATGATGCAACCTAAAGAAATTGAATGTGAATATTTCTTCAAGAATTAAAGCAGTATAATTTTTATTAAGCTCATTCAGCAAGGTATATTTCTTAGTTAATTTGTTCTCAACACTTTATACTAATAGTTTATACTGTATTTTTTTTTTAATCTAAATAGCATAGGGGGCAAGGATGTCACGGTTACTATACTGTACCTGTGTTTACCCAAGCAAGTATTTTCACTTTGACACTTTCTCTTTGCTTAAATCTGTTTCTTTTTCTGTTATGCAGGCAAGAAAAGCTTTAATGATGATATTTTTCTCCAATTTTCCATTCTCGTGGATTCGCCATTCTTTGATCACTCTAGCACTCAATGTTATTATTGTTTTACTTGCAATATATGTTCCTGACATTAGGAATGTATTTGGTGTGGTTGGTAAGTTTTCTATTTTAAAAAAATCCATGTAACAAAAGAGATAAAAAACTGTCATCCAGCCCCTCATGTGAATCTGGCAACATGCTCTAATATCCTTTGTTTTTCTTTTTTCCCCTCCCACTTAAAGGTGCCAGTACATCAACATGTTTGATTTTTGTATTCCCAGGAGTATTTTATCTTAAGCTTAGCAGAGAGGATTTTCTCTCATGGAAAAAACTTGGGGTAGGTTAGCTTTTATTTCTTTTAAGAATTCTATTGTAGGAAATAATTTGTCATTTTATACTTGAGTATTTTATCTACATCAAGAAAGTTCATGTATTTTGAACCGTAACATACATTACTGGAGAAGGTGGAGGTTTAAAATATTCTAATTGTTCTTTATCTCTCCCTCCCCCCCCCCCAACAGGCTTTTGTTTTGCTCATCTTTGGAATTTTGGTTGGGAATTTCAGTTTAGCACTCATCATTTTTAATTGGATTACTAAATGAAAGAAGTATTTTCCCACTTCTTATGAAGAATAATTTACCTCTATATGCAAAAAGGAATAATTCTGGGAAGCACCTTAGATAAATCCTTTTTATATGGGTAAACATTTTTATAAATGTTATTAACTGAAGAGCAGAACAAAATGGGAGTAGGTAGGGGAAAGTGGGTTTATAGCAGTTTTAATTAAAATAAAATTCAAAATGCTCTTCGATATATTAGGTTAATCTTTGTGGTTTTTAAAAAATTAATACGCTTTATTTTTTAGGGTAGATTTAATGTTTACAAAAGTATTAAGCAGAAGGTAGAGTTCTCATATATCCTCTGACCCCCAACACACCCGTAATTTCCCATATTATTGAAATCTTGCATTCGTATGGTACGTTTGTTATACTTGACTAGCCAATATTGATACAGTATTTTTAAAAAATTTTTAAGTTTATTTATTCATTTTGTGAGAGAGAGAGAGAGAGAGTGAGAGAGAGAATACCAAGCAGGGTCCACGCTGGCAGCACAGAGCCCGACGTAGGGCTGAAACTCATGAACCGGGAGATCACGACCTGAGCCAACATCAAGAGTCGGATGCTTAACCAACTCGGCCACCCACATGCCTCTTGATACAGTATTATTTACTAAAGTACATACTTTGCCTTAGAGTTTGCTGTTGATGCAATCATTGGCAACCACTGATCTTTTGACTGACTTCATAAAAACTATGAGCCTTTCACTGTGATCCTTTTCTAGAATGTCATATAGTTGGAATTATATACTATCTAACCGGTTTTTCACACTGGCTCTTTCACTTAAAAAAATGCAGTTAAGTTTCCTCCATGCATTTTCATATAGCTCCTTTCTTTTTATGATTGAATAATATTCCACTGTATAGATATGCCAGTTTGTTTTTTCCTTCACCTGTTGAAAGACCTGGCTTTCAAAGTTACGAATAAAGTGTGTACAGGTTTTTGTATGGATAGAAGTTTCAACTTATTTGGGTTGATACCAAAGAGCACAATTGCTGCATCATATGGTAAGAATATGTTTAGTTGTGTAAGGAACTGCCAAACTGCCTTCCAAACTGCCTGCAATAGATTGCATTTCTGACAGCAATGAATGAGAGTTCCTGTTGTTTCATATCCTCGCCAGCATTTGGCGTCGTCAGTGGTTTGGATTTTTGCCATTCTAATGGGTGTATAGTTATATCTCATTGTTTCAATTTGCATTTCCCTAATGACACATGATGTGGAGCATCTTGTCATATGCTTATTTGCCGTCTGTATATTTTCTTGGGTGAGGTTTGGATCTTTTGCCCAGTTTTTAAATTGGTTTATTTTCTCATTGTTGACTTTTAAGCATTCTTTGTATATTTTAGATGCCAGTCCTTTATCAGATAATCTGTTTTGCAAAAATTCTCACCCATTCCATGGCTCGCCTTCTCATTCTCTTAACAGTGTTTATCACAGGCAGAAGTTTTTAGTGTGATTCAGTGTACTGAGTCAATATTTCATTTGTTTTTTAAGAAATCCATGTATTAGGTTTATATCCAAAATTGAATCTTAGCTGTGGGTTAAGGTTGTCAACATCAATCACTAATAATAAAACTGTGGGATTATTTCATTTGGTATTTTGCCCTGCCTCCCAGTCTTCCCTAAGAAAGTTTTGTGATTTTCCTGTTGTTCATTATGACATAGAGCTGTGATGATTGGCTGTGGAATCCAATCTGATGTCTCTAAGACATGTGACTTTCTAGTTGGCAAACAAATAGTGATGAATTATATCTAGTTTTGTGCAGACGTTATAAATCATTGTTTCCCATAGATGTAGCTTGCTTCTGGTTGGAAAGTGGAAGCTAGATCTCTCCTCCCCATGAGTGTTCTATGTGAAAGGCACCTTTTTAGCAGCCTACCAAAGCCAGGGTGTATCAGTGAAAATCTAATTTTACCCCTGTGCACATGTAAAGTAGGGGATTGCATGCAAAGCACCAATTTGCATGAATGGAAATACACACTTTTGCAGGTGTCCCTTTGCTTCCCACTTAGGAAATGGGCTGGAAAATTGACAACCGAGCTTCTCTTTTGAGTTAAGATAGTTCTTGGCAACTTTGGATCAGCACAGTATAATGGAAAAAATCCAAGTTTGGGAGTTAGGAAGACTTAGATGCAAATCTCAGTGAGTGTAGGCAAGTACTTAACCTCTCCAAACCTCCACTTTCATACAGGTATTAAATGGAGTTAATACCAATTATATAGGGTTGTGTGAGAAAATTAAATGACCCTGTATAAATTAGGTGCAGACCAAAACAGACTCTTAGATCAGATATTTATCCCCTTTTCTCCATCCCTTTATCTGGACCAGTAAAACTAATTTGCTTTCAAACAGAGACAGGGAATTTCTTCATCTCCCATCTTGTACAACTAATATGTTTTGAATCTCTCTCTAGCCTTCACTCACAGGAGAGCCGGCCCCATATGTACTCTTTTTAGTGTTTTCCCACAGTTCTGCCCCAGCTGTGCTCTCCTACTAATGTCTTCCTGAAACTGGGCACTTAGCATGGTCCCAGGGGCACACCCAGACATGGTTTCCCTTGTGGCCTCAGGTCAGCCAGAGCCCATCAATCTGATAAGCTAATTCTTGTACCCTCTTTTTTCTGTTTATGAAATTATAGATCCAAACACAAATAGGTGTTCAGCTGCTTACATAAATCTAATTCCAGGAATACCAAAATAACCCTAAATCTGCAACAGATGCAAGGGCGCCCTGTGGGGCAAATGTTAAGTGTGATGACAGCTGGGCATCAGTTTATACATTTGTCACCTGCTCGTGGGATAGGATCATGAGAGGTTTGGCAAAGGAACAAGTAACCTGTTGAACACCAAATGTAGTTGATATCAAGAGATAATATTTGCGGAAGTGTTTTTTTCTTGTATTTCACTTCAATATTCTGCCTTATCTGGTTGCCTGTTTGGAGTCGCAGCTTTCTCTGTGAGTTCGGAGGAAGCTAATAAGATGGCAGGTAAGAGCAGTGCCCTCTTCACTAGGATTACCAAAAACCCTCGTTCAAGTACTCCCGCAGCATTTTTCCTGGGAAATATAGGCCCTCGCATTATGGGCTTAATGTTCATAATTTATTAGGTAAGAACTATTTAAAATAAAACTAAGTAAAGCACAAAATATATGCTTTTCTAACAGTTGGAGACTTGTTTGCTAAATTAAAAAACGAAGTGCTGAGAATATAAATTACTTTCGTATGTTGAAGGTGAATGTTTAAATTGTACCTCTTTTTTTTAGCGGAATGTTTACTCATGAGCTTAGCATTTAAATGGTTAAAACAAGCCTTTGAAGTTAACACTCCATTAAGATGAATGGGGGTAATTCACACCTCTGCTGGTGCTGTATTATTTCAGTCTGGCTGTGGAGAAAACAAGACAGGAGTAGGTTGATTTACTGTGTGAAGGCCCTTTAAACACCCAAGGTCTGGAAATCTTTGTAGGTTTTTTTGCCTTTCCATCTAGAAGCAAAATCTGAAATTCAGCACAATCTGGGTATAGACTCGTCTTGAAAGTACTGTACATTCTCTACTGTGGCGATTCCTAACTGGCATTTGATGGGTAGCTTGTTACCAGAGCAGCCCAACCTCTCTGGTTTTGTTTGCTCCTTTGTTTCTTCTACCGTGACACTTATTAAATTTAAGTTGAATACCCTGGTAAATTCACGAATGGACCATCCATTTTCAGGTAAACTTTATACATGCCTTTAAAGAAGTTATCAGCCAATCACTGGCCTTCATGTGCTTCTAAAAACATTTTTACCTTTGCAAAACCTCATCTTCTATATTTACCTGTATATAAACCTTTAAGAACATTTTTCTTCTCCCCCATTTGGGGGGTGATCTCTGATGTGAGCAGAGATCATTTGGGAAAGATTCATTTCTTTCTCCATGTGACCTTTGCACCAGTACTATTCTGTATTTGAAATGTGCATGTCCCTCCTCCCCCATTCGTGGAAGTGCTATAGCCATTTGGCCCTGAAACAATTCATTTTAGAGCCTAGGAAAAAGGTTATGTGAGCACAAATGAAATGGTGACCACTGTATGAGATGTTAAAGAATTTGGAAGATCTCTTTTTAAGGTAAACAGATTTTTCTCTTCTCCGTTCTCACCCTGTGTATTTGTGAGATCAGGTTACTAGATAACCTTGGGTAGCTGGGTGTGAGGTCTCTAGTGCTGACTGTGCCAGTAAAGTATGTAGAGATGGAAAATAGATGCTAGAAACAAAAGGATTCAAACAGTTAATTTTAACCTCATTTTCTTCATGGCATGTTGACAGCACTCTGCCTGGGTTAGAATTAGCCCTACTGAGGAAAGACTTCATTTCCTGCCAGTTACTCTGCCTAAAATTTAGGTGTCATAATTTTTGGTCTTACTACTTCTCAGAACCTGTTGCAGTACTGAAAAAATTGTTTCTAATTTAAACACAGTTTATTCGTTTTTCCACCATTATCCTCCTGTAGTCTTCCCATAATGAAGAGGGGAAAATAAGAAAAAGTTTTTGTGAAGGATGAGTAAAGACATTTTGGATATGGTTTCCTCATTGCAGTCACTCTTTCTGAACAATCTGATGTGTGTTTTTACTATCATGATCCACTGTCCTAGTTTGCGAGACTGTCCATCAAGATGAGCACTTATGGGGAACAGGAAGGCTCACGTTGGCTGGTGGCCAGGTGGACAAGCGGGAGAAGTTTTTTTCACCCGTGGGGCAAAGGAAAGGGGTGGAGAGGGAAATTGAGTTGCCAGGGGAAAAAAGACGAGTGAATGAAAAGGCATTATCATAGGGGGTGGTATAAAGAAAAAAGACCTGCAGAGAAATGTTTCTCACTTGTTTAAATGTATGTGTGTCTTGTCTTCTACTGATCAGTGGACCAGTGCACAACACAGGCAAGGAGCCTGGCTAATTCGTTGAGCAAATATTTCCTGAGCACATAATACATACTAAGAGTTGCACTAGTCCTAAAGCTGTGAAGTTAAGTAAGACCCCTGAATTTCTTGCCTGAAAAAAAAAAACTCAAATAAAACTTGGAATTTTCTGACTGCACCCTTTCAAAATGGACCTGGTAATGCAACTGCTTAATGCAAAGGAAAACATAGATCTAAGTCCTAGCCTCAGTAATTAGACAACAGAATGAAATAAGAGGCATCTAAATTGGCAAAGAAGTCATCA